GGCCGTATGCCATGAAAATATCGAGTAGAAAAAAGGAGATCGAAATGAAATTATATGGAAATGAATCAGCGACGTCTATCAACTCACCTTCAAGTAATCACCGAATTCATCGTCAACACAACGACGCCTCGGTTGTGAGCTTGCAGCGTCACGATAAAATGACACGACTTTACATCGTCTCGACAATACTTGCTCTATACTATTCTTCCAACTTTTACAAACCCTAAGTTGCGATTAACGAATCACTCATTTAAATTACATTTGCAGAATGCCATTTCCCATATCAACCCACCAATCGAAAGGCATAAACTCGTAATGAATTGTAACTGCCGATTAAATGAATACATAAAAACATCAACTTGATCGATATTTTGAACCATTATCAAGCGTAGCCAGGAAAGGGGGCGCAAGGGGCACATGCCCTTCCCTAGCGGGTAGACGAACAGGAACAGAGATGGGAAAGGAAGCGGACAAGAAAGGAAAGGGAAAAGGAAAAAATAAAAGTTAAAAAAATAAACCGAAACCCCGAAATTCAGTCACTTTTTTGGACCAGGCCATCTTGCTCCCCTTTCACCCCAAGCTTGGAAGAAATCCGGGCTACGCCAACAGCGATCACCATCAATGTCAATGTCAAACAAATATTTTAGAAGTATTCAAACAATTACAATTGGCATTTGAGTAATTCCCTTGCGTTCATGCATCCGAACAAGCGATCTAGAACACTGTAAGCACTTTCGAACACACCGCCCAAATGGTGCAATTCATTACCACTATCGCTTTCTTGCCGCTGCCCAATCTCATCCGGTGACAATCTATTCGGACTTTCCACAGAGTCTATCGCAATTTCAGCGTTATCCATTAATTTTGACTATCGATCTGCAATTCGTGGCATCACATAATAAACACTACTGTTCAGTGCAGATGAATATCTCGCATGCGCACCTCATCAAAATATCCACAAAACTTCTCAAACATCGTCCTGGATTGGCAAGCAGGCTATCAAACGTTTGTAACGT